GGCCCTGCTGATGTCGTCTAACTTGCTGAAACCTTTCGTGATCAGTTTAGCTTCAAAGCGCGGAACAGGTGATAATTATAAGGTGTCATAGGAAAGTATGTAGAATGAGGCACAGTGTCCTAACCTAAGCATTGGACCTTTCCATCTTCTCAGCTGAATAAGGTTTGACGTTGCTATGAAGCTCTTCTCGGTCGCCTTTCTTGAATTCCTTCTGCGAGTTTCTAGAGTTGAGTGATGTGGATGACGGTGGTAGGTGTGTGACCCTAGGGGAGCAACTTGTGGTGCAGCATTCCCCAGCGAAATCTCCTTGAGGTGGAAGTCAGACTTACGCAGTTGGGAATTCAGCTCAAGGAAGCCACCGGCGCGGGATCCACAGTGATTTGTGGTTATGGAATACATGGCAGGTTGATGATCGTCCTGACCAAATTTCCTATTAATTTAACGATCTTGGAAGGCTTCTAGCGGAGCTAGCGTGGTTTTGCACGTTCCTCCGAGCGACAGCCTTCCTCGGCTATCCTCATCGATAAGCGGTAGAAAAACTAGACCTCCAGTGTTCCTTAATTTTCCAATTATGTTTTGGAATGTGCCACGCATTCGACTCCCACTTGGAATCGTGTCGATTCAAACACGCTCTGGTATGGCGGAGCGCCCTTTGACGTGCACGTCAGTGTTTTTATTCGCCTAGGGAGATTTGTTATCAGTCAACTGACCCAAGGGATGGAAAGCTTGTCTACCCCAGGCACGACTCAATCTGAGAATTGACACTCGAACCCAACCGCTTGCCACTTTACCGCGTCCTTGGCAACTAACCTGACAGTACTTTGTTTCTATATCCTATGAAAATCAATTGGAAACGAAAATCAACATCGGATGAACTCCAAGCTTCAAAACGTTTACAGGCCATTTCTGCACATATGCTGCTCAAGCGGCATATAACACATGGAATGGGAAGAACTGGGACCATACAAATTGTGAGCGAAAAGCAAGGTTGTATAAACGTCACCGATAGTTCACAGGTATTTTACAACATACCTTTTATTCTTTTTCAATTATTTACAACCATGAATATTTCCTGTGGAGAAAAAACCTCGAGAATACTCGAAATCTTTAGCTACAACTGGGTTGTTCTCGGAAATGGATGCACAATGAATACGAAGAAGTGATGTGTGCTTGTGAAACGGACAACTGTAACAGGGATGATCTTTCCGCATCAGCTGTGATCCCCTGTGCTACTTCTATGACAGCCTTAATCATTGCCATAGCAATTTATATTGTGTGACAGTTAAGGTTCGAAGCATTTTTCTACCTCTGCTCAATTTCCACGTGTCTCTCACAGCCCTTCTGCTTCTTGTGACCAACCAAACTAGAAAATATTCTTACTAAATTCCAGCATATTTATTAAGGGAGGCTGGACCCAAAAGGAGCGTTAACAACTATTATGAGTGCAAACGTATGGGCGTAAAAGGACTTCGGCCCTCAAATAGCGAGGAGCTGCGTCGCGGACGATAAGGAACGGTTGGCAGCCGTCGGTTTCGCCAGTAACAGCGTGAGGCCGCTGTCAACGGGTTGCTGAAGTCCATGCGATTCGCAGGCGTTGCGATCGGTCGTGGCGCTATTGATGTCCAACTATGTCACTGGCGACCGAACCGAGTGACCGCGGACGCAGCGATCGGTCGATCGCAAAAGTCTGACATGCGGCGCCTAACGTGAGATGGCTCTCCATGGCAATTTCGCCAAGCGAGTGTTATAAGGGTTCGCTTAGTAAAATAAGGCCGAATTTCGACTGCGCTCACATCCATCCTTCTTCGTGTGTATCGTGAAATGGGTATTGATTTTACACACGCATAATCAATTTTTTATGTGCAGATCCAGAGTGCCAGTATGGTCTGCCTTAGGCCCTGTGAATTGGCGGAGGATGGTCGACAGTCCATGCTAAAAAACCGTAATTGCTTAGCATAGCTAACTAGCCAACCAAGGCAAAAGACTGCAAGCGTCCTAGCCTCTAACCCTGAATATCATGAGTCTGTTGGGCCAGTATTTGTATTGATCCTATATGGATGAAATCGATTCAATCTACTCTCTCATGCTGGAAAAAATATACGGACCTTATTTGAAACTGTTTGCTAACAATCCCCATTTCTCTCAGACTTAGCAGACACAGCTTATTTTTCCGTCGCGGAGGAACCGAGCTGGAAAATCCCACAAGCAGTGTCTTGCTCGCAGTTGAGAGAGCTTCAGTTCCCAAAATCTCTTGTTCTATGAACCATCAAATAAAATTCTGTAGGGCTTTCTTGGACCAGTCCGATTATATGCCTTATTTGTTTACCTCACAATGGAGCAGTGATCTTCAACGCTTTCTTCGATCATTGCTTCTAGTCCAGACTGGTCCCATTTCAGATGTTCTTTTTTTGATTTACTTGGCATATCTCACTTTCACTGGTATTTGTTTCGTCATACACTTTTCGTTATCAAATAAACATGAAGAATTGGCTTAAAAATGTGAAAATTTTGATGAAGCACTTGCCACATATGGCCCAGATTTAGAACTACGGGTATATTTGCGCGTAAAAAAAATCTTGTTAATTTTGTGCCACTTTCAAGCTGCCTGTCCTCACATCGGTCGCACAAGTTCGAGTCACCGTATGATACCGATTACTCGAGCTCTAAAATAAGGTGAGCTCATGTCGTCGAGAGTTTTGGCGGAAATACGTCCGTACTTGCTAATAGAGAATCGAATTTTCCGGATAGAGGGGGAGTCGTTTAGGCTATTTTTTTACCTCAGATGGGTCCTGCCGGCGATGGCTTGAACACAGGAAATCGCGGCAGAACGGTCAACAGGAAACGGACAGGACGAGCTTTGGAGAGGAGACAGGACCGCGGAGAGCGCAGGCACGAGGCCATATAGCTCACCGATTTCTGTACGCAACATGAAGAATAGTTATTTTATTGGCAAAAAAACGGTGAAAAGATTTTATATATACAATCCTACAAAGGTCAAGCGTTCGGCGTAACGAATATTGCAAAGAAGCAAAAGAGCTTGAATTAAGGGTAAAAGATAACTAACTGTATATGAGCTTGTGATGGATAACGGGAGGAGGGTATTAGGAAGGAAGGGGTCGGTACAAACGTATAGCTAAGAGCCCTCGAACAGAGAGCCAACGTCAAAGTCGTATCGAGGGTATAGATGATCTAAAGGGAAAAAAGGATAAGGGAAGAAGTAATGGGTAAAATAATCACTAGCAAGAAGATAAATGTCACACCGTACGCTCAACCTAAACCGTACACGCTTCAATCAGTTATTCGAAACTCGAAGGAAATCGTTAAATCACATGTGATAATAGTGAATTTGAATGAAAACTAGCAATATGGTTGGTTAAAACTCCAATAAAGAATGGGTAACAAGGACGTTGACAGGGAATACCGGCAACTACGAGCATATACGTTCAATTTCAACAAGGAATTGGAAATTTTTGCATGGCATATATCACACAGGGCAATAAGACGGTCAGAAAAATAAGGCACGCAATTAAGCTGCTATACAAGAACACGAACATATGACCGGAAATTCAACACCGAATGGAGAAGTCTACTGTTACAGTAACTATAAGGCTACCATAAACGAAGATTGTAGTATTTATACCGAGTGGGAAACTAATCACTAAAAGGTTTATACGGAAAAAGTTAGGCATGAGAAAGTATAGAAGGAGCCTCTGGAGCAACACCCTCTAAAACCACGTTTTCAGTCATGACCCAAATTGAATACACCCGTAACAATTACACTTCCTGGAGTCGCAAATATGCTCACCTTGTAACAACTCTCAGCGATCTCCGGAAATGCGATTGTCATAGCATTTGGTCATTAAAGGTCCATATATACCACGATATCTGTTTTATGTTGCACTTGTATTCCTTTGGTCACAGCCTCATTCATCCTGAAAAAAAAAACTTAGCACATTTACAAAACAGAGATGAGTAGAAGAGAGACTTACTCTGCCGTCCAGCGCCGTATCTCCTCTAAGGACTCATGTGAAGGTGCAGGTCTCGTAAGCCAGTCAACAGCTCTATTCCCACAATCCTCCAGAAGACGTTTTACGGGACGACCTAAAAGTACCATTGCCGCAAAACGAAGTAAAAATAAAGTAGAGTGGAAACATAATACTAGTGGCAGTGGGGATGACAAGGCCAAAAGGAGCCGTTGACCATGCGCACGGTCTGAAGAAGGATCAGTCCGCCCAAAGCAACCACGGCTTCCACCTCGTGAGGAGGGTCATTGACTGATGGGCAGAAAAAAACGCTGTGTAATAAGACATTGACTGGATTCCACAAGTGGGTGTACACTATACCGCATTCGAATGTTGCGATGATTTTGAATAAGCATGACGCGCGGCGCACACCAAGAAAGCTGATCAACGTTGGAGGTTGATGATTGATGGTAATAGAATAGAATTAGTAGTAAAATTGAATGAAAGTAATCTCCTATTACATTTAAAGAAGCGAGGAAAACCAACTTGGACTAGTTGATGAGTTAGCACCTCGGCTCACGTTTTGATCATGCGTACGAATGGCTTCTTCGTAAAACTGAGCGCGCGCCAAGTATTCAGCTGTGTTCAATGTCATGCCATCAAGATGTGAGACGTCGATTATATTCTAAAACGCATTTATGAAGTAGGACAACAGTAAATTAATCACTGCCTTAACATAGTCAACTGTTAACGATTTTTAGTAAATCTTATGGTTCAAACAATATGATTATG